AAAATAATTATAGTAAATGAAAAATAATTATTTTGAACACAGTATTTGATTAAAGAGAAGACTCGATCAATGTTTTCTGCATATCATTTTTACCCACTAATTATAAGTACCTCTTGAAAGCAAAATTCTGTTTCCTTATACCACTAAGGTTCCATCACCACAAAAGCATATTTGCCACTGGATTGCACTATTTATATTTTTTTAAATATAGGTCATTTGCAATTTCTGGGGAAACCAACATAGAAAATAATTTGCAAAGATTACTGTTAAGAAAAAGAGGGTCATTCTGGGCCATCAACATGCTGTGTAAGAAATATTAGGTTCTTAAGCCAACCACTGGCATTTTTCTGATGACGAAGTCCTATATTTAAAACAGCTCTGAAGTAGATAACATTAGTTGTTAGATTACCTATATTAGCCTTCCTTCTCCTCCCAATCCAGGATTGTTCCCCAGATTTTTTTTTTTTAAATGCTTTGTCTAGTCCATTTTGAAGCATGTGATGTGATGGAACTTCCTTTGCTTCTCTTGGAAAACCATTACACAGTTAAGGTGAATTTAGGACTATTTATCTTCCTATTTGGCTTTTGTATTCTTTATTCATCCCACTTTTCAGACTTCAATTGTCTTCTATCGTCAATAATTACTCCTCTCTATGCAACATTAATTTTAATTTAGATCTTTTACTCTTTCCTTACATATGAATCTCTTCAGATTCATAATTATTTTTGTTGCTCGTCTCAACTCCCTCCAAATGGTTGATACTGAGGTACTCTATTCTAGGTATAACTGCCTGCAAAGAGAAATTATGGCTTCTGGCTACCTGCCTTTACATGTGCATCAAAAAACCCCAAACCAGAGTGGGATATGGTAGCAAAAAAAACATTGCCTATTTTTAATTTGCAGTCCACTATCACCCTATGTCTCTTTTGGTACTAGTGCTTTGTAAGTTTCTTCCTCCAGCTCAATGTTTTCATTTTGGATTGTTCCTCTTCTTCCCCAACATTAATATTTCTTCTTCATTTTTAATAATATATCACCAGGTCCATTTGTATTATTTTTGTATCTTATGTTGTTCAAAATGCCTCCTTATCTGGAACCAAAATTATGTTATTTACACTCGAATCCACAACGAAAGATGTGAAGTACAGGAACACTGATTCCGGCAGTTACCTGACTGGACATCTGCTCCCAGCTGTGTTAATCTAAACACCAGGAGATAAAATTAAATGAAGGATGGGAGAAAAATCAGTGCTTTAATTTTGTTGCTAACATGTGAGGGAAGTCTATTTTGAGACAAACGTCCTTTACAGTAGCATTAACCACCTTGTGCTGAAAACTAGCATTTCTGGATGGCAAGAATGCTTATACAAGATACATTAGCACTGAGTCAACCTCCAGGCTGGCTATAAATTATAATGCTATTCACAAATCCAGACTGTCACTTGATCAAAAGAAAGGGGTTTTGGTGGTCCCCCACCCCTTTTGTTAAACTGTTTTATGGAATATCTGTTTTCTATAGTACTCAATATATTTCTCTATGTGAAATACATACAGATCCCTAACCCAGTTTAGACACTAGGATAAAGTTTAAGTTGCAAACCCATAGCCAAATATCCAAATTACTCCTGATACCCTATGTAAACCCAAAGGCCCTGTTTTCCCCTCTGCAGCATAGAAGAATCTCTCACTTGCTCTTAATGTTCCCCCAAAGAAGCAGAATTTCAAGAATGCCTCCCTCATTTTCTTAAGCCCACAGATAACTCTCTCTGCTAAAGACAAGTCGTTGGGGATTTTCAGGAATTCCACCTCCATGAAGAGCTTAGAGATCTTTAGATGAACAGAGTTATACAAACTTGTTAGGAATTATGTTTATATGGACCCATGGAGAATCTGCTTTTTTCCAGCACGTGTCCCTGAAGCACCAGCAGATTTCTGGTTCGAATGAAGCAACATTACTCCATTTCTATAGTGTCTGGTCTTGCCCATCCAGAGTTTGAGTTGTCTTTCAGCATTAAGTTATGCTAGTTTTGCCAACACTGCAATTTCCCTCATCCCTCTTGTTGGGTGGTATGAAGGCCAATGGCAATACATGCAGGTGGTACAGGTAGATAACCTTGATCTCTGGCAGATTTCGTGGCTGGAATAAATGAAGTAGATACAATCTGGTCCCACATCTAAAACAGTACTTAAGACTGTCACCCAAGATTTGAAATTTTCTTTAAAAAGCCCCCAATTCAATATAATGGCATGATATAATTTTCCAAAATAGGTAGAATAAAAGATTTCATCCTGGAGAAGGGAATTGTAGAGAAAAGCTCTTTCAGTAATGGATGGCATGCTATTTCTCTGCATTCAAGAGCCAAGCTTCCTTCTACTTCCTTACAAATATCTTGGATTCTTCCATTCTTAAAAAGTGCTTACTAACCGCTCATCTGTCTTAATGCAACAACCATCCTGGAGAGACGTACGATATTGTGCCACATCCAACAGGATATCTATTTAGGTCCCTGCATATTCTGTGGTTGAAGAATTTTCCCTGATCCATACAATGCTGCTAAATCATGCTGTAGAATCTAAAAATTTTCCTTAAAATAGCTATTACCCATGTTTCTGAAGATAACTCGGGAAACATGAACCAAGTTTATATCAATGCAATTTTGTCTTCCGAAGCCTGCAGATATCCTGAAACATAGTGCTGAGCTGTGAACTGGCCTGCTCATAGTAAATGATTAATTCAAACCTAAATAAGACAATCTAAATATCAATACTTATTTCTCTACTGTGCTTTCCCCACAATCCTGAATTGCCATTCTGATGCTTTCCAGGGGCACTCAGGGTTATGAGGCAGTTCACTATCACCCATCCATAGTGTAAGAACTGTGTCTGCAGTGGGTCAGTTCCCTGACTCCATCAAGAAGCCCCTGGGTCACACTTCCAGATGTCATGCGGCTAACAAAGGTTCCAGCTTCCCTACTGCCTACTCCTAACCCTGTGTTATGCATGTCAATTTAAAAAAACAAAACACAAAAATCTGTGGTATACTAAAATATGAAGATGTGGGCATAGTCCAAAAACTGGGTTTAACAGGGTCTACTGTTCTTATTATTCATTTTGATACTGAATAAAAACCCTCCACTTGAATACTCAGTTGAAGCTGATGCAGAATTCTCAGTTTTATATACCATAATCCAAGGACCTCACTCATAGAAGTTAGGTCCCATTTTCCATATCAAACACATAATTTTGCATCTATTTGGTATAATGAATTTTTTTTAAAAAGATTATTAATTTGAATTTTCTGTGCAACTTTTTTGTTTTAAAAGGATGATTTATTAACCTACCATCCCAAAAATTAAATATTTATACTTTCAGATAAGATATACATAATTGTTTCCATGATTCTGGCCAGAAAAATGTCATTTTACTACCATCAGCTATTGTTACCAGCCTCTAACTCTGCATCACATAATACTTATTATTTTTTCCTAGTGGAATATGTGTATATATATTCAAGAGACAACATGCAAGTGTTCACGTGTAAGTGTGCTGTGAACAGAAATTATTGCTTGCTAAATTATCATGCATCCCAACTAGCTTAGATTTTCAACCTGAATTAACATTTCATTGGTTTGAATGCCATAATCTCATAACAGTTACAGCAGAGAACCTACAGACTTCATGAGAACACTCAACGGACAAAACACTAAAAGGTTACCGAAATAAAGCTATTATACTTTATAAAAAATACAAACAGAATATTACTTCTGTGTAGTGCAAGTCAGAACCATTTTATATCAGGAGCATATACAGTCTCAAAGTAACAAGGTTTAGACCCTAGAAGCAGAATATTAGCAGAGATCAATAAATTCTTAAGTACAGTAACAAAGTGATGTGGTTTTCCTTTCTATCATTATAAAAAGCAACATTCATTTTGTGTGTCTTTGTTAACTGCCATTCTCAAAACTTTGCTTAAATTGGTAAAGGTGTTTAAAGCAATTTTTGACCTGGGTAAGCAAGTCTACACTGAAATACAAGTTACAAATTCACACTTTCAAACAGTTAAATTTATTTTACACAAGATACCTGTACCACTACACAGAAATTTTTTTCAGTAAGCATAAGATGACATTTTATTTGGCGTACACCTCCTTTTTGATAATATGCCTCAGAACTGGAAGCTTACTTATACAG